AGCTTAGCAGGATGGGGCTCTCTATGGCTCTATGGAAAATAAACCACATTAGACCAAGGCATTGCAGGGAGGAAGCAAAGAGCTAGTTCGTGCTGTTAAATTAACACTGTCAAGAAAATAGACAGCTATCTCGTATTAAGCTTTTCTTTGTTGAAAATGTACATTTGTTCCTAAAAACAGCAATACAATAAGCAGAAGATTTGGCCTCATTTGTTTCGAAACAATGAAGCAAGAAGGGACACAAAGAACACCCATGGGCAACTCCTATGCCATGGGCAGGATAGCTGCCACCTCCTTCAGTCGAGGTTATTCCCAATGCAAATGTTTGCTCTCCTTTAGTACTTCCAGTGGCCACTGGGAGGAAACTAGTGCATAGGGAATGGAGGAGTTCATCAATTGGAGGAAAACTTCTTTGCTATCAGCTGATAATAATTTTGCCTAAAGTCTTTGCTAAAAGTCCCACGTGAAGAGCACACACAAGTATATCCCTGGAAAAGCACAAAGTGGTCAGCTTGGATAGATGTCTGTTTCCTGGAGGCCATCGTTTTCTGTGAAGCCATTGTGGCCAAGTAGCTGCGAGCCAAATTCAGAGTCTCATTCATCTCGCTTTAGATCTGGATTTCAGCTACATCTACCACACATCCTAGAGCCATGCCGAGCCCCACTGGGGAACACATAAAAGCTCAGCATCTGGATCAAACGGCTGCTTCAGGTGCAGCAGATGATGTCTTCAGGTTTGAATTTGTTTTCGCTAGTGTTGTTGTCTTTTAGGTAAATCAACACAGTTTGCATCTGAAGAGGCTGTACTGTTTTTCTTAACCACATTTTATGATTACTGGCAAATAATAGCTTTAACTTCTCACAGAGGGGAACAGAATGACTCTGGCATACAACTGATCTGAGCAGACAGCTCAAAGCTGTGATCTACTCTTTCAGTCAATATAAACTGACAGTGTGATTATGTACCTTCAAAACAAAAATGTGCTTTGGAATGGCTCAGGAAATACTTACCAAGTGTAATTATTATTTAAACAGAGCACCCACAGAAATCTCATCACCCAAACATGTGGATGAGGTGTTTTATTCCCGTAGTCCTTCCCTGGTGATGGAAATAACATTTTAATGGTTAGATAGTGCTATTGCCTGTTTTTAAAAGTGCTTCAGTGGAAACACATGTTTTTTCCATGCTTGATGCTTGTTACGCTTGATTTTCAAAATAGCTCTTTGTTTTTCCCCCATTTTCATGCAGCAGTTAGGATCATGGATGAACCAGAATCATCAGGCGAAGAAGTTTTAGTTACAGCCAGCACTTACAAAACATTGCCTTTCTTCATTGGTTCAAGTGATCTCTCTACCACACAGCCCGAAGATGTTATTACAGACGTGCTACCATCAGACCAAACAGCACCACTGCCTGCAGCAACCAGCCCATCCTACAGCCACTCTGAGATCATCGAACAGTCCCTGGAAGTACCGGATTCCTCAGTGCCTCCCGACGGCACCGGAACAGAAGTGCAGGATATTGCTGCCGAGTTAGATCACGTCGGCGTGATGAGCACAGCGGCGCTAGATGAAGCGGAGCATGGCAGCGGTTACATCTCAGTGCTGACGGCTGAGCCGGCAGGAGCCACCCCAGCTACTACGCTGAAGTATGTAACTACCAGCTCCATGACAACCGCAGCCAAAGGCAAAGAGCTAGTGGTTTTCTTCAGCCTGAGGGTAACCAACATGCACTTTTCTGATGACCTCTTCAATAGGAGCTCGACAGAATACAAAGCACTAGAACAACAGTTCACGCAATTGGTGGGTGAAAATCAACTTGAACAATATATGCAATAGTCGGGCACAGTTCAAAGAAATACGCTGAAGAGCACAGCATTTTAATGATATCAGACCCTAATACAGTTCAGTCTGATAAGCTGTATCTTTAAAGCATCCATAAGCCTGGGATGCTCTCAGGGTGTGAAGAAAGAGTTTATGAAGCCAGTGATGAAAGTTTTTACTTGTTCAAGAGACTCCCGTTCTATGCCTGGCATGTAATTTATTTGGCTTTTTCTTAGATGCACGTCAACAGTAGCAGCGCTGATTACATCTAAGGTCTATGTCTACATGCTGGATTTAAAACCAGGCCTTTTAAAATATATGATAACTTAGCAGGAGGAATGTGATTAGATATGGATTTTCTCTATGGGTACAATAGGGTAGCAGGTCAGCTCAGTAACATGCCTATTATATTATGCCCGAACCTACCTGGATTGAACGTTTGAAAATAATTAAAGTTGGCTTTTGAGTGAGGTGATTTTTTTCTCTTCCAGATGAATAAATTCCCCAGCTGCTATGCATTTCATTACAGGGGAAATTGCTGCCATCCATCTCAATATATTATTGAGAAAGACGCAAAAGTCCAGAAGATAGTGCTAAACAGAAAAGTGAATTTGGTGGTGGAGTTTAACAATTGTACTAAATTGAGACAAATAAGTGTGCGATGGGTGTACTTGATAATGAAATGTGACTATAAGAGAAATTAACAGCAGGTAGACATCGACAGTAAGTTAAAATAAAGGCAAATTTCTGTTTTGCAGCTACTTCCATACCTTCAGTCCAACCTGACAGGTTTTAAGCACCTGGAAATACTTAACTTCAGGAATGGAAGTGTGATCGTGAATAGCAAAATGAAATTTGCCAGGACAGTGCCATACAATATCACGGAAGCAGTACACTGCGTTTTGGAAGATTTCTGTGATGCTGCAGCCCAGCACCTCAATTTGGAGATTGACAGCTACTCCCTGGATATTGAGCCAGGTAAGATCGCGTTACTCATGTACGTGCAAAATCAAAACCAAGCAGCAATCGGGAAAAATTATTCCAGAGCGTTACATGTATTAATGTTTTGAAAATAACGATATTAGCAATAGCCTCCCAGTGATCAGGAGTAACAAGAAAAATCAAGATGTTGCAGATGATCCGCAGACACGTCTTCATACTACAGTGAAATGCTGGGTGGAGGTGTTGGTCTGTGCATGTACAACAACTGCTTTTCAAAGTCAAATATGGTGAACTAAAAACTCTCTAGACTAAGGGCTGGGCAAAGACAGGTGTAAAGGATGCTCATGTGCAGTTTACAGGAGTTACTTTCCAGATCTTGCACCTGAATACGTAAACATAATTTCTGATTGTTTGTGCAATGTTGTAAGCAAACCATACTTCAGAGCATAGGAGATAATTTCTAGGAACAATTAGATTCTACAGATACCCACTGACCAGAGCACAACTATACGTAGCACTCCATAGATTTGTTAATTCCAGTATCCTTCCTGATTCAATACCTTTCAAATAAGTCTGCAGTCTCTGTTGAACAGTAAAAAGTCAGTTACAGCATATCTGGACACCATTGCAATGTCAGAATCTTAAAGTTTTCAAAAACTATATTGTTTTATAAAATTAAAGCCTGGATCTATTTTCAGCTTCTGGTAATTATCAGGGCTGAATTTTATTTCATTGGCTCGGAGAAGAACAATACCAATACCTCAGCATGGAGATGCCTTTAGCAACTTCGGTTAAGCTGTCTTTTTATGTTTAGATCCCTGAAAATTCCAGAACAAAAATCCATTTACAATTCATGCGGGCAGTTTCTAATCTGTTTTCATTTTACGCATCTCCTTGTGGCCACTAACTAAGAGCACAGGTAGTGTGTGGTAAAGAAAGTTAACAAACTCACAGTATTCAAACTTTCAAATACTGCCATGATAAACTGATGCTTTGCTGAATAAAGTATTAAATGAGTTCATTAGAAAGAGTGAACTTTGGGCTACCACATGTTCTCTGCTTTGGCAGTAAGTTTTCATTAAATAAAAATTAAAATTAGGAAGTTGCTAAAATGCAGACACAGAAAAATGTAAAAATCTTTCATCTTCATCCATATCAGCTCCTTTACTGATTTCAACACTAATTCAAGAAAACGATATCACAATGATTTTGCTGAGAGTTGCTCTTTCAACATTTATGAGCAGTAGTAAAATGACAAAATAGAAGAAATTACATTTAGAGAGCCAGTATATTCCCATACAGGTGTTTCAAAGCCCTACTGACTTTTCACTTCAGGAAAAAACCCACCACCAAACAAAACAACAACAAAAAAAAAACCAGTCTGTTTAGTAAATTAAGGTAATTTAAGCAAATTCCTGTTTATTGTGACAGTAAGAGCCATCTAGTGGTAATAATATTATACTGAATAGAAACACTGATGGGAACTGACAGTCCAAAATACACATTGAGACTCAGAAGCTGCAAAGGGCTGACTGCATTGGTCATAGATGACACCATCAAGAATAATACAACGAGTTTTTAAAAATACCCACATGCACTATTTTTGTCATTACGCAAAGGGAAAACACAGAAAAGATGACAAAGTATGGCAGGTACATAGCCCAACACTTTGTTAGGGAAAATGTAACATTATCACAAAAAAATGACTCTCTAACCCTGCAAAATGCTCACGCCAAGCTCTACTAGTCAAACAGAAATGTACTGAGACCTTTCAGCTTCTGCAGACAGCAGGGCTGTAGCACGCAGCCCTGGGCAATGCTGACACAGAGCCTGGGTCTCCTTACCGGCAGTACCAACCTTTATTTCCACGGCTATGAAGGTAAACTGTGACCATCAAAACTGGGGAGAGGCTTACAGGAGAAACGCAGTTAACATAGCTGTTACTGTTTTAACCACGTACTCACTGATACAAACTCATTTATTGACCATTTTTCCTTTGGAAATGTTCTGGTTTTGCTTGGAGTGCAACTCTGTGTGGGGTAAGAAAACAATCTGTAAGAATTAATATCCCCTCTTGATTTGCCAGCTTGTTTTGTTTAAATAGAGACTAAACTTGCAAGTCCCAATCAGCAGTACCCATGACCAAAGCAAAGTGGATTTTTAAGTATTTTATTTAAAACATATAAGCAAGGGTTTGCCTGACAATAAAGTTACTTTGCAATGTATTGTATTATTTTGATGCCCAGTTGTTGGGGTTTACATGTACATATGTTTACAGTCCAGGAGCAAAATAGATCCCAAATCAAAGGCCATAGAATTACAGGGGGGATAAAAATGAATGGCTCTGCTGGATTAATTTCTACCACTTAAGCACATCCTACTGTGTGTCTGAGATTTCCAGTACCACTATAAAGAATGTGATGCTCATTTTTCATTGGAATTAGTATTACTGAGCATCTAGTATGGAGCATGAAGTGGCTCCGGAAGAAAATTCTCAGCCCAACCAGCACCTACAGGTACTAGCTGCAATATCCAGTGCGAATCTTCTTTTTAATCTGCAGATTTTTCTTCTTAAAAAATGTTAAGCCCACATTAACTTAAAAGGGCTGCACAGCCCAGCTCGTACCTGTGGATCTGCTCTCATTTCTTTCTCTGCGCTCTCTTTGCTGGGTTTGGGACACTTTCTTTTTTCTTTCTTTTTTTTTTTTTTAGTTATTTTTGCCTTTCTGGATTCACACATCCATTTGCTGGCAAGAACAGAATTTGATTCCCTGGTCTGCTTCTCATCTTTTCCCTTCTAAGGGCTTTACCCCATAGTACGCAGGAAACTGCCTCCATGAGACAAGATTGGTGGATGCAGCCCTTCTCCTCATCACCCCATCAGCACAGGCTGGGCAGAGCACTGGGTTAAAACGACTCCTTCGGGGGCTTTTTTTCATTTCTAGTAAGAAGCAGAAAATGGGAAAGCAGCAGTAGACTTGTGTGACAGCTGAAGTTAGGACTTCAAGCTGTATCTGACTTGGGCTTTCCTATGAACATCAGCAGGCTCATTTTCCCGTTATCTCAGAGGCAACCCTTACTAATATCTTAAAAACAAAACAAAACACCCAGCAAGTTTTCCCAATGCTAACACATCACGTAAAAAAAAAAAGTGCCCAGCAACACATATTTTCTCTAGACTGTGGCAGTATTTCTAGGTTGCAGTCCTCATTGTATCGTGCAATATTCAATAATCTGATCCCCTCTCCTTGTCATGCCCTAAATTATGTGTTTAAGATCATTACAGCTGAAACTATTTCCTGCACACATACGAGGCTGTAGCATAGTACCTGTGAGTATAAAACTAGCACAGCAAAAAGGATAAAAACACCCAAATGTGAAAAATCCTTGTCAGCGAGACAAAAATAAGATCACAGCTTAATAGCGATGAGGTAAACAAGCGTAGAAGTAAATGTAAGCCTGCATGCTTGTGTGTCATCTACAGACCGAAGGACGTGCGTCCTTTTAGGCTAGACTACATCCTCCCATTAACGTGCACAAGTAGCAGGCCAGTAAAAGGGAATTGTTTTCTCTAGCTGCCACAAAGGCTGCCAAGTTACTCCGGGGTAATGCACCAATTAATGATTTACCCATCCTTCACAGCTGATCAGGCAGACCCATGCAAATTCATGGCATGTGACGAGTTTTCCGAATGCATAACGAACGAGTGGACAAAAGAGGCTGACTGCCTTTGCAAACCCGGCTACGCCAGCCAAGACGGATTACCCTGTCGGAGCCTGTGCGAGCTGGAACCGCATCTGTGCGTCAACGGTGGGAAATGCGAGCTAGTTCCAGGAAGAGGAGCTGTCTGCAGGTAAATAAATGGTGCTTAACGTGAGTGCTCTTAACAGACCCCCGATACGTCTGTTGCATGAACAAGTAGGGCTGAGTATATATTTCTTTTCAACGGCATAAACTATGCCAATAAGCCAAGACTTCAACGTTCAGACACTTAAGGTACATTGCAACACCCTTCTTCAGTATAGACATTCCCACTATGGATAATCCCATTTCTGCCTGTTAGTACACATGGAACATCATGATCTAGTTATTTTTTAGAGATGCTTTAGAAATTTATTAGAAATTCAGCATCACTGGCAGAGATGACATGTACAAAGCCATGCATTCCTTTCAGATTTGTACATACATCTCAGAAAAATGAAATCACACATTCATGGTTTTGCTATTGATTGCATGGCAGTATTTTAAGAAATGACATTTTTCAAAGATGTATTAAAGAGGAAATCTATATTCTTTTAAACAGCCCCTGTGAGCGCTGTTCTGATTCCAGACCACCCAACCAAGCACTGAAAGCTGAGGCTGCTTTCAGGGCTTTCTGGGAAAGACTTGAAGATTAGCGGCTCCTCCTAACTGCAAACACATTCCATAAGGATTTTTACAGGAAATGATGTTACGCTAATATTGAGAACTACTACAGTACTTGAACATATTAATTCCATTTTAAAAGTATTGAGCTCCATCTTATTGTAAGACTAGACTGCCCAGGGCACTAGGTGAACCTGTATACCAGACTGGCAGGCAGTAGCTGACCAGCCACACGTACAAGCAAGAGACAAGTTACAATTCTTGCACTCGTTTAGTCTCTCTAATACTGACTTTGCTAGGTTAATTATACGTCTTTTAGCAGATTTAGGATTAGTGCCAAAAAACAAGACTACTGAGCAAATTATTCATATGATAATTTCACTGTAACAACTGCCATAATTCATTTTGTGCAGTGGGCGTCACAGAAATTATAATAGAAGATTATACTGAAATCACCGCAGCTACTGCTACATTCCTGCCTTGTGAAGTCACAGTAGCGCAGCTGCAGTATTTTGTACTAGAAATCAGCCTATGAGCTAAAGAAGTCCTCTTCAAAACTCTGTTGAAGTAGCAAAGGGTATAGCCTACTCCTCCAAGACCAACACACTAAGGAAAATAACACCTTTCCATTTCAGAAAAGCCCTGACTTGGTGTACAGTAATAACCAAAACACCATTTGAAATTATTAAAAAAAAATGGTAAAAATAATAAATGAAACTCTTTGTGAATTAGAGCAAGTTACAAACAAACAAGCTTACTGCCAGTCTCAGACCGACAGCTTGTGCAAACTTGTACAGCCTGCAGAGAGAAAATTATGGCCCATTATTTGCCTTAGTCAAGCACTTGTTTTGCTTGTGAATTTACTCAGAACCACGCCAGTTTTTCCACTAACTAGAACCCCTGTGCTCTCATCTAAAACATGGCAATCTTGTCCCTTGCTTTGAAGGGAGCTATTTGTAGTAAAACTCTTATTTCAGGCCTTGCCACTCAGATTAAAATACCAATAAGCAAAATATAGGCTTTTCGAGATGTGTTTAGATGTTACTCCAAAACACACCTGAACCCAAGGTTCTAAACCACAAATGCTATTTCAGCTTCACCTGTGGGGCTAGAAATTTGTCAGAGATGTTCCAAATCCATAATTTCCCTAGAATTTGTAGGTTGGCAAAGAATGTATCAGTAACACTCACTCGCATGAATCCAAGAATATTAACTTCCCTCTATTACCAGTCACGTTATTTCCTACAGACACGTAACAATTAAATCTATCAGGAATACTGTGCCTATATTTAAACGCAGATTTTCCTTTGTTTTCATTTGAGGTACTCTGTATTTTCTACCTTCAAGTTCTGTACATTTTTCTCTTCCTCTCCCCATTTTAGATGCCCTGTACGTAGACACCAGCTGTACCAAGGACAGCGCTGTGCAAAATTTGCTCCAGAACCCATACAACCCTTCATTTTTGAACCTCTCATTCTTGGCTTACTAAGCCTTGTTTTTCTTGCCATCATTTTAATCATTAAGTTAAGAAGAAAAAGCCAAAGAAATTCTAATTTGCAGTAAGCTGCTCACGATCTTTTTCTTCACATTTCAAAATATTCCTTTTTTTTTCTTTTGAAATTCAAAATCTTACCTAAACAAAAATGTTCTGCATTGTAGAAGTCCTACTCTCAACAGCTGCAATTCAGAAAATGCTGTAAGGATTAATCCTGCTTTTGAACATGACGAGCCCATAACTAGCTTTTGTCGTACGGCTTGTGGTGTAAGTGCTTGTGTCAGTTCCTCAGAGATCATTGGTCACGGAGCATTACACGAACTTGAAAACACAATTCAGCGTGGAGGTAAAATGCATGGAAATCCTTTTCTTACCCCTCAACAAACAGCCCCACCTCAGATAACAGGTCCATCTTCGTGTATTAACTCTGCAACTAAACCAGATTGGATTCTTATCTCTTGTTTGGCAATTTCAACTAAAAATACTAATTCCTTTCTTTGCTTTCCACGTTTACAGCTGTGTAGGTTTCATAACAGGACTGTAGAACTGCTTTTCTTACAGCTCTCTTGCATGGCTGTGGCTGGCCGTCCTATCCGAGTGCTTTTCATGATTTAGTAAAGTAACTAATCTACTGCTTTTATTTTTCTTTTTTTTAACTGTCGTAGGTCACCAGACCAGTTTGCAAAGCCAAGACTGACAAGTTAGTCTCTGAAATTCTTCATTTCCAGCATCAGCCAGACAAAACCAAGGTTTGTGACTATTTTTAAGACCTTTAAAAATCTGTTACGTTTCCTCTTTGTACGAATTTCATACAGAGAACGCTTGGGTTTTTAGATGCTTGATATGACGATAACGAACCCTTCTTAAGTGCTTTTATGCAACAAAATGTTCCATTCTGTATACCCATCTGCTAATGTGGCAGTGACCGAAACACATGAAGGAAGAACGAGTATCTAAAATGACAAAGCAACACAAAATGCAAACCAAAGGGGAGGTTTTAAATAGCAATAACAGATCATTTAAAAATCACTTCTGCCTGTTTAAGCTACATAGAGTTTGAACAAGTAGGAATTCTAATTTCAGCAGAATACTGCTCATATCTCAAATATTATTTCAGGTTTTGCAACTTGAAACTTTTTGTATCTTTGGTGGGGGAAAAAAAAAAGACAGAAAGGAGAAAAGCAGAGTAAAAAAAAAATCTCTAAAATTGCCACATTGTCTCTTACTTCTGCTGCATCCGAGCACGCTCTCTTGAAAGGCAGACAAAAAACTGTTACTTTGCCATTTTCATTTTTCTGAATCACAGCCTGGTTAGGAACAAAAAGGGTTTACTAGAGCTGTTAGTTATAGCCCCACTGTCATGGAGAACAGCAGCACGGGATTGCCCTGGCACCAGCTATGCACTATGGGAGGCCAGACACCCGGCTACGCGAGTCTGGCTTGAGCCAGTCCATTGTTGTGGCAATAAAGGAACAAGTAACGATACCATATGGAAAGATTTATTTTCACTGATCTTGGTCATACCCAGGTCTGGTGACTGTAAGTGCTCCAGGTCACAGCTACAGAGCGAGCTGCCAGCGGGGGGACGGGAAGGCAGTGTCAGAGATCAGCAGGGAGCAGCAGTTGGGAGATGCTCAGGAATGAATTGGCTTCACTGGTGGTGAAACCAAGAGCACAGACACTTGCAATTAGTATTTACACCCGTCTTGAAAGAAATGTGTCTGTGGGTAATTGTAGACCAATAAACTTTCATACAAGCTGAACTACTTAAAATTGCTACTTTCAAAAGCATTAAATATTTTATGAAAGGAATAAAATGGCTCATTCGGGGGGAAAAAAAAAAAACAAAAAACAGGCCTGCATCATCTAGACATTATTTGAATTGTCAAAAGTATATCAACAAAGCTCTTCTCAAGATCTAGTTAAGGAAATTAATCTAGGTAGAAGTGAGGCAACCACAAAATAGCAACGGATTTAAAAAAAAAAAATAGGTGGTTTTGGCCATTTTTCACCATTACCTAAGTTCAAAATGAGTGTTTACATCATATGTTGAAAACATTTTTAATGAAATAGTCGATGGAGGAAGAAAAATGTATGTAGAACACAGCTTTCATTAGCTGAAATTAAGTACACCACTTCCATATCACAGTCTAGAAAACTCTTTTGGGGCTAGGACTTTTAAAAGAGAACACAGACCCTGAATTCTCTGGAGGAGGGGAACATCTAGAACTCTTAGGATAAATAGAAAATTCCAGTCTTTGAATTCTGTTTTGCAATGCCTAATGACACCAGTGACAGCTTTTTAGGACGTATTTTCTACAGTAAGTACAGCTCTGTATTTATGAAGGTGTCTATGGAACTAAGCATGGAATACCAGTAGAAGCCAAAATAACCTTCAACTCCTTCCTAAGCACAAAAAATGTCTCCAGTTTATTTACAGGGTTATATACATATTACTATACGTATATGGAAAATGACTGCAAAACTTAGTTATCAGAGGGCACTTTGGTTGGTTGGGTTTTTACCCAACTAGTCATCCAAGAACTAACAAACATATTTCACATCCAGGTGGACAACTTGCTCTTCCCCCTCTCTGAGCTCAGTAAAAAACACAAGTTCTTGCAAGCAGCTGAGAACCACAGCTCCCTCCCTGCATGGTCAGGTCTCTGGGAACTTGGCGTGTCTTGCTCCACAAATAGTGTGAGGAATAAAATGACTGAGAGTGTCACCTTTGGGCCAAGGCAGAATGTGACAAGGAGCTAGAATTTACACGTTCAAGTGGATCAGCCCGTTCAGACCGAGACGTAAGGCCACAAGTCCACGTCCAGTTGGCCCACTATGGTTGAGAGCCAAACATGCCCAAGTTCTCTAAAAATGATCCTGCTGATCTGACTTTCTGCTGCCTACCTCACCTACACATGTGCTCCCCGCCCCTTTAAGATGAAAGCTGAAGACACAACCTCATTCGAAATGCAACTTCTCTCTTGTAGCATCTGCTGTCCCTGTTAGTGACCGTGCTGGACACTCTGTTCAGTGAAAAAGGTGCTGAAAATCAAAGTACATTGCTTTTCAGCTGGTAGGCTCTTATGCCAAGCTATCTGTAAAATTTATTATTTTTCAGTTGATCTAATGGATGCTATTCTATAAACATCATTTATTCGTGCTCGTACGTGGCATGGGTGAGTAGGCTTCTTTTTGAAGACGTCACCTGGCAAAATTCAGTAATGGATCTAACCCTTGAAGTCTTCACAAACTTTTCTAAGTTCTTGCAAAAGAACTGTGCTGCAACAGGCACGACAGAAAATCAGTTTTAACAAACTCCGATAAAACCTTAGAGGAACCAAAAATATTTGACAAAAAATAGGCCAGAAGCTGTGGAAATAAAGCACTGGGTAAGGGGATGGTAGAACAATTTGTTTCACAATGCCTGACCTAATCAGCATGAGCAAAGACCACTTTGTTTGATGCAATTCAGATGAAACCTAAAAATCATTTCAGTTCTCCCTAAGAAACGTATAAAATACATCATTCTTTACTCATCAAAACCAGTAGCTGACATACAGCATGATCCTCTCAAGAACTTTCAGCCACCAGGAAAGACGACCAAAATTACATTTGAGGTGAAAACAAAGATTGCCATTTGATGCCCCAACACAAGAAGGATGTGGACCTGTTGGAGGGAGCCCAGAGGAGGGTCACAAAGATGATCAGGGGGCTGGAGCACCTCCCCTGTGAGGACAGGCTGAGAGAGTTGGGGTTATTCAGCCTGGAGAAGAGAAGGCTCCAGGGAGACCTTAGAGCGGCCTTCCAGTACCTGAAAGGGGCCTGTAAGGCAGCAGGGGAAGAACTGTTCACAAGGGTTTGTAGCAACAGGACGAGGGGTAATGGTTTTAAGCTAGAAAAGGGTAGATTTAGGTTGGACATCGGGAAAAAGTTCTGTAATATGAGGGTGGTGGATCACTGGAACAGGTTGCCCAGAGGTAGTGGAAGCCCCATCCCTGGAGACATTCAAGGTCAGGCTTGGTGGGGCTCTGGGCAACCTGATCTGATTAGAGATGTCCCTGCTTATTGCAGGGGGGTGGGACTAGATGGCCTGTGGAGGTCCCTTCCAACCCAGTGCCTCCTGTGATTCACCCTCATGGCAGTCACTGGGACGATCAAGCAAACAGTATTTTGGACTAAAACAAGGCACCACCACCGCAGGTCAGCCTGCTGGATCTCCACCCCACCCCCACCCCCAGTTTCATTACCCAAACCGTGGGGAAAGGCAGACCTGAAACACCGTACAGAGACAGCAGCGCTGTGCCCTCAGCTCGAGAACGCCAGGCGCCAGCCAGCCTTTCCCAGCTCACAAGCTGGCGGGGCCCAGCTGCCACTCCTACGCTCCAAACAACGCACAGAAGCTGAACGTCCCAAAGATTACTTTATCCCAGGTCTGCTGTAACCATGAAACTTGCAGATACATTGGATACGGTTTCTTTTGTAGCACACCGCATTCTAGTTATTAACGTCAAAAATACGTTCTTGAGACTATGATGGTATTGGTTACGTCATACAGAAGCACAGCACTGTTATATCAGGGAGGAAAGATAATAATTTTACTCTGAACTCAATTACTGAGTGTGTAAAAAATAACTTCAGGATTAACTCAACTCTTCTTACAATGAACTGGAGATCATCTCAACAGATTTTAGTGAGACTTTGTATATTAGCAGCAGATAAATAATACATTTTCAAATTCAAAAATGCTTTTCAAATGTCTCATGAGAGTTTCTCTTACAGGCATCCAAAAAAAGAAGGTCTGCATTATTCGAGACAGGACTTCAGGTTGATTATGGATATGAAAAAAAATTCAAGGATTCCTAAAGATAAAACATTTTAACTCTAAAATCAATATATACTAAAAAAATTGTTTTATTAAAGAAAAACAACATGACCAACTCGACCAACTATTTGACCGTGACTAAAATTTGCCCAGTAAGAAGTCGTGTTCCGTAGTCCCAGTATCCGTTAAGGACCCAGCGCTTACACATCTTAGCTGGTTTTTTATTTAAGAGCCGACTGCTAGAAATAGGTTTTGCCGAGAGGTGACTTTTTTCAATATTGTACATCACAACCATTCTGGTAAAAGTGTCGATGAAACTTTACCGCATTTCTCTATCCTTTCATTAACCTCCCTCACCCCACCCCACCCCACGCCCCTCCCCTCCCCCACAGGTGGCACTCACAGAAACAAGAGCTGCCACTGACCGAAGGCCACGTTAGAGCGTTTGGGAACTTTTTCATTCTCTCCCCACAACGCTCGTGTTGCAAATCACACAGAAGTTGGGAGTAATTTTTTTAACGGTTTCTATGAACATCACATTCCTATTTCCTTGTAAACACACACGTTACGCACACGCGTGTACAAATGCACTTCACCGCTTAACTTCCGGTGACAGTTACACTGCCAGGTTATCCTACGACTTCCAACTTTTTGCTGAGGCGCGGTACCTGCACTTCCATCTTCTCAGAGCATGAGATTTATATTCACAAGGACCCTCCCAGGGTCGCACGTAAGCACGTACACTTTAAACTCCATGTACACACCAATAATTTTGAGCGGTTACTATTAGTTTTTGTAGAAGAAACCTGCGCAGAAACGGGCGGCCGTTAACTGTTTTATAGGCTTAGTAATTTACGCTCTGTGGAGCCATAGTCCTGATCCAAGTAGGAGCATTACTTTACCTTGAACACCTTTACCTTGAGCATATCTACGTGCTGCACCAGTGCTGTGTAACCTCCAGGCGCCGTTTGCCGCTTGGTGCATGCCAGGAGTTGTACTTCCAGCTCCAACTGAGCTTCTGCAAGGTTCGTGACTGCACTGGACGACAGCTCCTCGTTCAGACGTGAAGCTTTCACGTCTGCAGGACAGGAGGCGGTTTTCGTGACAATTCTTTCTACTCCGTCCCACAGAGTTACCACAGTGAAGACTGACCTTGTTTACCTTATTATCTACGCTCAAAAGAACTGTTTACGAACTCCAAACAATTAACTGCACAAAGAGATTTGCCTGCAAACCCACCAAAACTGGTGATTGTGTACAAAAGAAGGCAATGCACCAAGAACACAAGGTTGAGTTTCTACAGCTGAAATAGTATTTTTACTTACTTTATTTAACTAGGAAAAAAAAAACCAACAACAAACAAAACCAACAAAGAAACCTAAGATGTGGCTTTACACAGTAACACTTCAGAATAAAACTCTTGCAGGGCACTGGAAGCCATCCCTGCCAACGAGTGTCAGCTTTTCACTATTGCTCATCATTAAGAACGCCGAGAGCATTCCATTTTTTCCATTACAAATGTATTTTTGTATGTGTTTAGTATATTTCAATTCATACTAGTTATCACTAGTCAGATTAAAAAAAATCAGTAATTTTTAAATGTGTATTTTAATAATGATTATTCATGATTGTATTTATCACTCTCAACTATTAATTACCAAATATATTTGCTGGATGTAAGCCTTTTGTATTTCAATAAAATATAATAAAACTATTTACTTGAAAATTTCACGGGGAACTGAATTGGTATTTAATCTCACACTAAAACACATCACGTTATCTTAAAACCAATGTAAAGCTACAGCTGGAGACAAAAGCCATAAGGGAAGTGAAACAAAACGGTATCTCCTGGATAACAAAGTCTGATTTACTTCAATCTTCCTCTAGTTAAAAAAAAACCCCACTGTGATCTGGCCCTTGACAGGGAAGTCTGGTAACACTTTCCTTTACAAACCACCCAACACACAAACGCACCACCACATCTCTGCCCCAAACACGAAGCTTTTCCTGCAGCACACGAACCTGAAGCACCTGAAGTGGTTTCACCAGTCACTGGCTGTCACGATCCAAAACGAAAAAGGTGCAAACAGGGCAGAGCACAGCAAATGACAGACACGTCGGAAGGGACAGCAATGAAGGTTAGAAAAATAGTAATAAAATAAAGACACTTGTTTCAACAAATACTGAGAAACGAGGCATGAGACTTGATGATAACAAAATCAGAATTTTTTAATCTCAGAATGTTATTTTAAAGGAACACTTACCTTCCAAAGCAAAGACAAAATCTGTACTAGCAAAGCTTTAAGCACCGTAAACATCTGACAGAAAAGCTGCAGGCAGTTCCCGCACAGAAATCCTTTTATCCTTCTCATAACTCAATTTATACTGTGCTTTAAATCTTTAAAAACAAAATAGTAAGAGAGATACAACTGAGATTTCAACATGGAATGTATTTATTTTTATTTTTTCCCATTTTCAGTACAGTATTAGGAGGTCATTTAAATACTTTAGAGATTTTGGAGAAAAACCCAACGGATTCAACTAGGTAAAGAGAAACAATCTCATCAGTGGATGACGGACAAGTACTTAATGACCTTGTGATCTTCAAAGTAGTGTTCTCTAGAAAGTTCGAATTCCCCGGTCCCCTACTCAGGAACGCAGCCTAGCACCGCGACTCTCTTCCTCTCCCCTGTTCTGCGAAGTGGTTCATACAGAAGATCCCAGCTGTAAGGGGACAGCTTCACTGAGAGGCAGGAAGAAGTTCTTTTAAAAAACCAAACACACAGAACCAAGCCAACATGTTTACCTCATCATTTTGCCTTAAAAACCAAATTAAAATTTTCTCTAGACCCGCAGATCTGAAGAGCATTAGGTAATACCAGTCCTACAGATCAACTCTCTCTTCCCTCCTCTTTTTATTTCCTCTCCAAATCAACCAACAGCGTAAGATCTAATTATCTGGCACAGTAGGTGGACCACAGAAACAACGCATAAATAACGTAAAAAAAAAAAAATCTGAAATGAATTGAAAATTAATTTTCTTGCACAAAAAGACCAGTAAAACTAACAGCAGATGCTGCTTTTGGTGCAGAGAGGAGGGGAAAAAAATAAAAAAGAAAAAAAGCCTGCTACTGTGCGAACTAAAACACTGCGATAGGGAACGCACCTCCCGCTTGCCTCAGGCATACTGCTGGAGCAACGCAGAGCGCTGGGAACATCTCATTTGAGAACATCCAGCCACCAGTTCCTCTTCCACTATTTCAAAGTCAATTTTATTCTCACGATAGCTCACATTTGTTAGTCATTTAGTTAACAAGAATTCCCATACACCCCATTCTGAAAAATAAATTTTCTTTCTGATGCCAGTCAAGAAAATCCTGGCATAATCAAAAGAACAGACTGGAAAAATTCAGTTAACAATTTTATTTATTTTAAGTTCCCCACAAGTATGTTTACACATATATATACTAAAATGTTTAAGCATATATATGTGATATACATACACAGGCACGCATACACACACACACTCCTAAGTACTGAGGTTCTTTGCTTACCACGGTCAGTCCCACAACATCGGTTCCACAGACACACACACAAACGGAGACCGACTGTGTTAGGTCACGGCGCTAAATCCCGACAGCAATAAATACAGGGTAGGGCACCTCAGCCCGATCAGGTCAGTGATTTTTCGTCCGTTTATTGCATGAACAATCGTAGCTTCCTGCACTGCTACATTTCTGGAGACTGGGAGTTCTGAAACTTTGGTTCCAATTCAGTAACGCATTAAACCAGCCATCTAAATTTCGGAAGCGGCACCTTTAAACCCATGCGACACTGTACAGGTTTGTACACAGCCTGCCAGCCAGCAGCCTGCTGCTCCTCTCCTTTCACCTTCCAGCCAAACATTACTGCTTCAGTGAAGAATTTGGGTAAAATGAAAACATTTTCTCGTTTGCAATCACACAACCAAAAAGCAGAGTGGGGACGCAGTGGAAGCGGAGATTCCCTGCTGCAGCGGATTCCCGCCGACCTAACGCGTTACTCAAACACCCCCACGTGCCTCACCGTAAGGAGCGCGTTTGTAACAAGCAGCAGAGCGCGGCATGCAAGCACAACCTAAGGTCAGCAAGGATGTACGCATCAGGAGCTTTCTCTGCGCTACAGAGCCGTACCTCTTGAAAGGTATTTTAAGTATATTTATGCACTTAAAAACTGAAGTTTCCAAGAGGTTTCAAACTGAGTAAACAGCGAGGACGTTATCGTACAGCGTGAGCAAACTTTGTCAATTCATAGAACAAGACTTCAGTTTTAAATCGGCTTGAGTGAGTAACCGGACACCAAGGTACTTGTATTTCGAATTCCTATCAGAGAGATAATAAATACCCAAGTTTAATTTGTTGAAAATAAGTGAACAAGGTGCATCTTAAAACTGTATGAAATTGCAAATTCCCACCCACAAAAACTCCCCAAACAAACTGCTTAATAAGGGAACTGTTCCAAGCTACGAACCTTGACAGAGGAGATTAAGAGAAAGCTCAGTGTCCGAATCACTACGACAGCCCCGTATGCTACAACTGGCAGCTATTCCAACAGCACATAGCATTAAGATGATGCATTATGTTTTCAGACCGAATTTTTACACTGTCTAACAAACGGTGCAGACCTTGTGCATCTCGTTACAATTAAAACAGAAACAGGATGTCTGAGGCCCAGACCTCAATATTCAGTTAAGTTACACTGCCACCAAAAAGCTGAACCTATTTCCCTTATGCTATCCTTAATCCTATATGCCTCCACCACAGGTCTTGGACAATTTTGCGTAATAGATTGAAATTACACTACCTGGATAAACAAATTGTCCAAGAATTCCTAATGGAAATTTGGTCAGAAAAATAGGAGTCTAAAGGAAATTTGTACTGAAAGAGAAAAAGCAATCTAAGAGAGAAGTGGTATGAGCCCTAATGAGCAGTACATTCTTTGAGTACCTCCAATATTACACAATATTGACATATATGAATGCTCTTCTCAGAATGTACAGAAAATCTTTTCTCTTAAACCAAGACAGACAATGGATTAAAGAAGAATTTACGGGTCTCAAGTTTAGGAGGATTTCCCACCAGTTTCTGAAAAAGTCAGTAAATACAGACACTAACCAGTTTTCATATCAGGACATAAAATGTCTCAGATTATATAAAAGCATACTCCGACTTCTCTGGAACAGAAGTCAAAGCTAAGGCCTCACAATTCCAGTTATTAGAAACAGCATGTCCTCTTTACTAGGCCACCACTTGAAGCCAACTATTCAGTGTTTTAAAGAGGGAATTTTACAAACAGGTGGTTGCAACGCAGTTCTTGGTAATATGTACCCACGTACGGACAGATTGCTTGAAAGTGTTAAAGAGTTACAACAGAAGCTGTTACAGAAAATGCAACATATAAACAAAATGCAACAAACTCACTGACTGAAGTTTCTTCAAGGTCCTCATACCTAGTAAAGTTCACTACACAAATTAAACATCATGAAGTACAAATTAACAAACCATATGATTAATAAAATCTGTTTGCTTTATATTAAACATCTCTAACATGATTATAGAACGTTTACGCCCTCTGATGCCCAGAGGAACTCTTCCCTTTGTATCCTGGGCCAGGGTTCTGATCTCAAACGCTGCTGCGCAAGACGACCGATCATTTCAACAGGTTCTGCAGCATAGCTGTAGCGTACGTAGGACGAGCCTGTCTGCTTTCAATTGCATTTTGAAGATACTGGATACCTCCACAGCGCTCCCAAATTTCTTCAAACTGTCTCGGCAAAATTTCAGCACCTCGCTTCCGAGTTAAGCCAGTCTCTTCAAGGTTAAGCTCACACATATCCATATCATCCTTGCCTGAAACGGTGAAGGGAAAAGAAAAATCTCTATAAAACTTTTACATCATTCAAAGGCCCCATTAACAAAGACGAGATCTGTGTTAATCAGATTTCCTCTCTCAAGCTCTGGTTTGTTAACAGACTTCAGAGCTTATGAGGAAATAGGTCCTCAGGCAAAGGGGTTTTTTGGTTTTGTTTTGTTTTGTTTTTAAAAACAACCAGAGCAGAAAAGCAGTATTAGAATAAACTAGTGTCAGAAGCTGCAACGGACAAAATTGTGCTTAAAAAGTAAGGAAAAAGGAACAAAGGAAAGAAGCCGAGAAGATCAGCATCTTGTCACACTCCCCTGAAATCCACTACAGGATGACAACCACATTTGTTTCACATTTACTTTGAGCTTTACAAAGTTCTACAGTGAACTGCTGCTATTATTTAATTTGTTTAAATGTAGCAAAGCAACTAAGAACTCAAGACTTTGGATCAAGCAGCCAGTACTCTCGATCCGTCAGCCTCCCATGCTAAACAAACGGTGTTTACCAGATGGGACTGACACAGGGAATCCCAGGAAACGATGAGTGTAGCTCACTCGCTCTATTTTAATTTTATTTTTAACAGGTGATCCGCTGAACGTGGTATTCACAACAGCAATGCTGCTTTTAGCTATGGGCTTTGACACCGAACAGGCAACAGCTGGTATAAGGAACTCTATCAAAAATAATCAGCAGAAAACAAAGGAACTTTTGTTGCTAGTAAACACTAGCAAATCACTCTGAAGCTAAACAAATCGCTTACGGCCTTTTCCTCAGTCCCCAAGTTAAACACAAAACCTCCAAATACAGAAGTGCAAACAGCATTTCTCCAGTATCTTCTCCCCCTTTCAGTACCCTCCAGAAAAGGAGGATACATTTCATTATCAGATAAATCTCTACCTGTCCATTGCCACATTTAGTTTTCATTTTAAATGTTTAAGACTAGAAGCTGTTCTCCCATACCAGCCAGCATAAACATGGTAAAAGCATCAGTTTGCCATTAGCACCATGCTACGGAAAGACAATGTATCGTACGCGCCAACTGTTTTGGTACAAACTGCTGTAATTTTTCAAAGCTAACTAAAAACCAACACAATGATAGCAGACCTTTCCCAGATAAACTGTGATGTTTTATCTTCATGCTGTCTCCAGTTCAGTGAATAATCTGAGGACACTTAATAAAACCAATAAAAGACTCCCACTCTATGATTTCCCAGATTAAAGTACACGTACAAGTAAAGCACGTGACCAGCCACACCTCCAAATGACACTCTGTAACATCTGCCCACCATCAACAGCAGTCCCAAAACCTCAAATTCTGCCCAGACAAGAACTACTGATGAAAAAAAGGGGACACAACTTTCAGAAATTTGTATGATCAGCCTCTTCTTCTAAAGCAAGTTATCAACTCTGGACCTTTTCAACACCTGAGTTTTGCTTTCAATACCAACCCGCCACAAGGAGAATGGGTGCCTTGTCGGGATGGAGCTCCATCTGCCGCGCGATCCACGGCCCATCGAAATGCGCGTACCACCAGCCCTTCTTCTTGTTCTGGGGATCTTTGTACTGGTCCGCGGGGCGGATGAAGGGAATGCGGAAGTAACGCTGCTGCCTGTTTATCTGAATCTCCTGTTGTCTGGCTGGTAGCTGGGTTGCCAGGTTCTGTTGCGCTATTGTACAAAAAACCCCAAAACCAAGCAAACAAGACAACAGAAAAGAAGAAAGCTGAATTATGACTTGCTTCATTAAACAGCGAAGTAAAAAAACAAAACAACCCAAACAAACAAAAACCCCAAAACCCAACCAAACCCCCCAAAACTTGAGAGATTCTCTCTGAATACAAGGACATCGGAAGTCTCCTCAAACCTAACAAGTACTCCCATCTCAGATAACGTGCTTTCTTTTAATCACTGCAGCTACGACACTGGCGAGGAAAGGCTCACGTTAACTATTGTATCTATGTACGTGGCTCAAAGGCATCAGGTACATTTAGACAAAACAAAGCGAGTAAAATAACACGTTCTGCTTTAAATCACTATTTAAGGCAAACCTTCCCATATAAAATTTCTTACCAACCAGGAACATTAATCAGTAACTGCTCTAGCTCAGTTCACCTCTTTGTAAAACAAGGTCGCAGTGCAAAGCAGCGTTTTCAGTTACAAAAATACAAAGCATCACTTGAAGATTTTTGACAGTCAACACAGAAGGGTGTGTAATACTGTTAGAAATTACTAATTTGTTAATAGAAACGTTGACAACAAATACTGCTCGTTACAAAGCTGCCACCAAACATAACTTTCTGCCTAGATTTCTGTGTGCTAAACTCCAGCATTAGAACTACTCTCTGGCTGTTTTCTTTTTTAAAGAAATTGTTTACTTCAGACCATTAAGATCAACAGACCAAACTTCCAGAGGAGACAGTTATACGAAATCTTTCAAAGCTTCATGTATATTTTTGGTAAACATTTCCCTTGTGCATTTTTGGACTCCCTCGGAGTCCCACACATTTCAGACTTCGGAGAGAAACTTTTTTTCGAATTAACCCATCAACCGATTGACCTTCTTAATGTTATGTATAGTCTCTCATGATCAGTTTTAAACAGCAAATGCTCTTATAAGCAAGATCCTTTCCTTCAATAACAGCCTCCTACAAAAGTTTATTACTGATCCTGTTTTAGCAGTTTACACTACCACTGTTCCAAACACAAAACCAAGTTTAAGAAATTCTGAATGTGAATCTATGATACCCCTAGAAAAGAAAAATCAGCATTAACAGTTCCATGCTTCAGCATAAAAGGAAAAATTAAAAGTTAATTCCTTTTTTGTCCATTCTCTGTTAAGCAGCAAAGCTAATTTTTGAGCTAAAATGCAATAAAGTGAAAAACGACAGTTATGAACAGACTAGCAGCTGCACCTTGACATTTCTTCCACTTAGATCCAAGCAAAACTAGTTTTTCTAAATGTGAAGAGCAGATTCTTAAAAAATATATGTACCATACAAATCACATTCCTTTTTTTTCCACGTCTACATAAACAAAGAGAAGAAAAACAAAACAGATTTTAACACGTGCATGCTACTTTTATACATCAACTCTGATGAAGCATATATTTTACAGGGCAGACATAGTTTACAGTTTTTAAGAAATTAATTCTATTTTCTGCAAATTGTCTGAACATCTAATCACAGCAGATCAGTGCTTTAGTATTGTCAAACACTTCTCGCAATGCAATGATAATTGCTCAGGCCTATTTCTACCCCTAGGCACACCTAAATCCAAGAGGAAATCTAGAGGACAGGAATGCTAAGCAGCCAAAATAGCCTCTACTTTTCAGTGCCATGGAATTGTAGTGCTTTATGCAAAAGAAACCCGTCACCTGAATGTTAGTTCGCCTGCTAGGAAAATAGCCGTTATATTGAGTTGATTCCAGGGTTTTGCTACATGTGCAGACAGTGAAAAATGTTAGAACAAGCACAGTATTTCTTGGGGGAGGAAGAAAAAAAATAGGAGATTATACATTCAAATAACCTACATAAAAAGGTTATTTCATTCTCCCTTTCCATGACCACTCAAATGGGTAGGATCTCATGAAGATCAGCAGTAAAGTACATTTGTAAATTACCAGAGTAACACATATTCACCATCAGGTGAATAACATTGCAAAATTGAAAACATAATTTTTTTGAAAAATTAAATTCTGGATACACGTGTAGCAAAACACTGGATTAATTAATGTTAGTATAGAGCTCTCAAGTGTTCCTAGTCTTCGAAGTTAGCTTAAATAACCATCTCCCCACTTACGTGAGTTGCTCAAAAATGGTGCAAAATCTGTGAACAAACATTACATGTTGAAGAAACCATAAAAGTGCTGATCTTTTAGAAGTTATAGTTTCATTATCTCAACATTTTTCACCAATGCTGATGACAGACAAATGGAAATTCTAGTTACAAAATAAACACAGATGTTGAGCTAAGTATTTCTAGTCATTTTCTGCTCACCGACATATATAAAATGTCTCCCTTCCTCAAGTTTCATTGATTTCCAACTGCTTCGATTTTCATCAGGATTTAATTTTAAAATTGATTACTTCAATGATTTGCGATGCTTGTTACAAACCTCAGCTGTATTCATGCTAAGCACAGACTGCTTTAAGAAATCTGCTAGGTAATTAATGCAGTACTTTTAATTTTTGACATTTCTGGTAAGAAAAATTTCCAGACCTCTATTAATACCAAATCTGCCTATTCTAATAATAATACACAAACCAGTGTTTAGCTTCTATACTGAATGTATAAATTAATTAAAGGATACCTGTAGAAACTACATCATTTGAAGCACACATCCACTGACACCTGAAAGACTTTTAGCTTAAACATCTAAGAAATCAGAGTTCCTTCTTACTACCTTCTCAGATCATTGTAATACATAGATGTGAAATGCCTATGTAGTAGAATTATTTGCAACAGGAAGAATTACTTCTCACATAAACGAGAATCTCTAAAGGTCACCATCAGCAACTTTCTTCTGAACTGCAATGCTCTAACTTTTCTTCAGAAATGCGAAGCCATATTTCAAGAAAAGTAAAAAAAAAGGCAACAAAAAACATTGAAGAGAACGCTGTAAATGTCTAACTAAATGTGATGACAACATGAATATTCCAACCTTTATTTGCACAAATCCAAACACTTTCTGCTCTTTGATACTTCCCATCAGCAATGCTGTGCATGAATATTTATTGTACCTATTTAGCTCCAGACAGAACTCGCGAGCTCAAATTCAAAGCAGCTTCGCACTTTGCAGAAGTGCTTCAAATGCTTTTTCTTGCTGTTTCGGTCATGAGCCTTCTGAAGCACTTAAAAGCGCATTACTAGGCATGGCCACAAGGACCCATCTTTGATTAAGATCTTTTCCAGGGGTCCAGGTTTCACCTGCCACATATCTGTACCAAAGTTCCCTGAAAAGCTGAAATTCTCAGGTAATGCTCAAGCAATGCCTAACTCAGTAAATGAATGAAGTCGAAGTCCTTTGCATAAGGACCAACACTGAGAGTATGTAAGTCACTTATGTCCCTTGGGATCTGTATCCCCCATGTGCCAGGACAATGCTCTAATCCTAGGCTAATGATAATGTGGGGAGAGCACCTTCTCCCCATCTTTCCTCTCCTCTGCCTCTCCCATTAACTGGTGGCCAGGAACACAAGAATCATCGAATCAGGACACCGCAGGAAAGATCTGACTAAATTATTGTATCTACTTGCTGTGATTGTGTTCATTTTTCAGACTGCTTTTATAACAGACATCACTGGACTTTGGAGGCGGGGTGGTGGGAAAGGAGCAACAATCCACTCTGCAAATATCATGCCAGAAGCTGGTCTGGCAGTGTTACCAATGGTATGTCCTACACCTGCAGTCACTTATTCTCATTAGTGCACTGCTTTGACAATAAACACCCATCTGTGAAATCTGCAGAATGAAAGTCTAATGAGAATGAGGGACTATGCAAAATTTGTCATCTCATAACCAAAAATTGCGATATGAACACTCAGAATTTTTAAAGAGACTGTAACCTGAATTATATAAGGCTTACAATGTAAATGAGGAATTTATTAGCACCTTTTAAAAGTATTTACCTCTATGTCCACGTACCTACTCTTTGGAAAGAATAAAAGCATGAGGAAAAAAAAAACAACCTTGTCACCAACACTTTTTGTTTTGTCTGGACCCCAAATGTAACAGTCAATTATATAACGGAGCATAACTCCTTCCAATCTTCTTTTTTATCGCACCAAAAAAAAAAATCACATACAATTCTCTGATAGATGGACTATTTGAGTATGGTCAAAAGCGGTGTTCCCCAGGGCTCGGTACTGGGG